CCACAACGCCCGACTTTTTTTTGGTTGCAGCCATCATTGTTGTTTGGCGGGCCGGGCTGGATTCGAACCCACCACCTTAGGTGTATGTGGCTGGCGCCTTAGCCACTTGAGCCACAGGTGCCAAGCCAGACTCTTTGCTTTTTAGCTTGAGTAATTGGATAGACAGTTGTGCTCTTCACTGAAATGAGAAAGAATCAGAAACCTATCTTCAAGAATTATTGTATTATTTATCTTTTAAGAATTATTCCTGGCTAGGTACAGTGGCTCATGCCTGTAATCCTAGCACTCTGGGAGGCTGGGCCAGGTGGATCACTTGAGCTCAGAAGTTTGAGACCAGCCTGAGCGAGAGCGAGACCCTGTCTCTACTGAAAATAGAAAAACCAGCAGGGCATTGTGGCAGGTGCCTGTAGTCCCAGCTATTCCAGAGGCTCAGGCAGGGGGATCACATGAACCCAGGAATCTGAGGTTGCTGTGAGCTAGGCTGATGTCACTGCACCCTAGCCTGGGCGACAGAGTGAGACTCTGTCTCAAAAAAAGAAGAATTATTCCTGTTACAAATCTAACTTCCATCTTTATTTCTTAATGAGGCATGTAATAAAAACTTATTTAGCTTTCCATATTTGGAATTCGTTCACATTTTGATGTTAGTCAAATAACTATAAGTTTGTTAAATTATAAAGTAGATAGAATTATCAGAGAGAACAATTAACCTATGGTTTCTAAACACCTTACAACTTTTCACATAAAAGCTGTTTTTTGAGATAGAATCTGATTCTGTCGCCCTGAAGTTGAGTGCTGTGGCATATAGCTCACAGCAACATCACACTCTTGGGCTCAAGTGATCCTCTTGCCTTAGCCTTCTGAGTAGCTTGGAGGTGCCCACCACAATGCCTGGGTAGTTTTTCTATTTTTTCTATTTTTAGTAGAGATGTGGTCTTGCTTTTGCTCAAACTGGTCTCAAACTGCTAATATACATATTTGTTAATCTTTTTCTGTTTTTCTCCTCTCTGCCCTTTGCCAGCATTACTTAGAGCCTCCAGTGAAACTGAGTGAAGCTTTAGAAAGATACGGACTTAAGACTGAAGATTTTTTTGTTTTGAAGCATGGAGAGTCAAGATACCTAAATACAGATGATGAAAACTTTGAATAAATGTGAACACAGGTGCTTTTAGTGAAAAAGGCATCATTTGATATAAATTTGAAAATGAAAAGACTGAGAAATTCATGAATATTATGATTTTTTTACATTTGTTCTGCAAGTTTGTTTTACATTTTATGTAATAACGTGCTTCCCAATATGATTGCCATCTCATGTAAGCTGTGAAAAAAGGGTTCAGGGATGGGTTATTTAAATAATGAATTGGCTGACGTGAATTTTAATTCTTGTATCATGGTATAAGCTTTGCAATAGAAACTTTTTTCTAAAGCATTCTACTTTTGTGGTGGTAGAATTTTCTAAGGTAGTGAAAAATGGATAGTAAAGATTCATTTGTCTGTTCTATCTTTTAGGACCTTCTACAAGGTGAGTCAAGGTGGTCTACCCACCTAGAATTTTTTTCAGAGGCCTACACATACAAATAGCTTTCTTATATTCACATGATAGTAAATGATGAAATTGACTTCCATATGCTTATAAATGTAGCAGTTCTTACTGTCAAGATAACCTTATATGCCAACTGTTGAAAATGATTTTGGTGAGCATAAAAACATAGGGGTTTGGGCTAAGTTATCATTTTTTTAAAGACATTTTTTTATTGTGGTAAAATGTACGTAACATAAAATTTACCATTTTAACCATTTTTAAGTGTACAGTTTGTTGGCATTAATGCAGCCGTGACCACTATAGAGATACATTTTTAAAAGGGGGAACAGTATATTCTATTGCACATCTACAATTTCCAAACCAAAAGCCCTCTGATTTGCTCAGAGGAGGAACAAAGAGTATAGTTTAAGAATATGATGTATGCAATTTTCTATTTTTAAATCTAAAAGTCATATCTTCTGCTAAGCACAAATATAGCTATAGTGAAACATTTTAAAGAGGTAAGTGTAGATATTAAATGTTAATAGACCATATACCTTGAATTAAATTTTATTTTCTGTACACTTATTTTTTTTCTGGTCTCTTAGCTCTAACTTTATCCATAAGATTTCTAAGTATTTAATGCTTTACATGATTCAAATGTCTTATATTTTTATATTAAATGACTGCTAAGCATGATTCTACCTTTTAAGCCAGGGGAAAAACCAGTTTAAAAAAAAAAAAGGAGATTCTGGGAGTCAGCTGGCCTAACATTTAGTCCTAGGAAGGGGTCTGTGTTCACGAGATGACTCTGAACCTTCCTAAGTGAGGAAACTGGATTAAATCCTATTGGAGGCCTAAGTTCCTGATTCATAGTCTCAGTACTTTTTTCATACAAAATAATCAAAATAGGTTTCTACACCAAATGCCACTGAGGCAGTGTTCTGTAATTTTTTTGCCCGTACATGTGTATATGTATGCCACATATTAGCCAGTAAATCTGAATCATGGATTTTCTGTGTAACATGAGACAACTCCCTGATGCTCATTGTGCCTCAGTTTCCTCACGTGCAACAAGAGGATAATTTTGACCTACCTCCAGAAAATGTGTAGGCTAAATAGTAAGTTGAGTTTTTTTAAACACACTTGGAATTATAAGGAAGAAAATGATTTCTTAAGATACCACTGCCTAATGTAAATGGGTACTTTCGAAAGCTGAAAATGCTTTTGATAATGTATTATTCCTGTTGCAGATTTAAACATATGAGGACAGTAGACATTGAAAACTAACAACTTTATTTCATTTTGTAAATTTGGAGAATAACTAAAATATAAATGATCTTTATCAAAATTTAGTATTTTTATCAACAAAGATATGAATCAAGAGGAAATAAATATATATGCAGTGTATCATAATTTGGGGGCACTAAAGCACAAATTCCCCCACAAATTTAAATATTTGTGGAAAAACTGAACAAGCGTAACTTTTCTACTCCAAACAGTTGTGAATCAAGGTGTTTGGTTTATGGTGGGTTAGCTTTGAGGAGTGTTGCACTAACATTAGCCAAGGCTCATCTTCTTTGCTGCTGCATGCCGAACTGAAAATTGATCTCTTACCTCTACTCCATGAAAGCCAAATGTATCTTGCTTAAGTATTTCTTCCCTATGAACATTCACATGTGCCGTGTAACTGAGGGTCTCTAAGCACTGTAATTATTGTGTTCTCTTAGTAGTTCCACTCATCTGGCCTGCCTCATTTTTCTAGGCCTCCTCACACGCTACATTTTTTACTATGTTCACATTCTTTCTACACTTTATTCATTAAGTATGCCAATCCCAAACTTCATCTTTCCCTGTTGAATCTCACCCTATTGAGTGGTTTCCATTTTATTTTTCACTTACCTACGTTTTGAAGGGTGTATGTGCAAAGTAAAAAGTTTGAAAATTAAGACAGATCCATTCTCTTACCTCAATTCAATCTAATTTGAATTTGAATTTTTTGGAACTTTTTAGTTTTTGTAGTCA